CGACTTTACTTTCTCCATTTCCTCGTAAATGTTTGCCTCAAGGGATAAAGAAGCATGAAAGTCTAAATCGTACTGTTGAAGCCGACGCTTCCACTCTTCCTCCTGTCGCTTAAAACGCTGTACCAAGCGATGATGTGTCCGCAGATTCAGCGCTTTAACAGCATCTGAGAGTTCCTTCTCGAGCAGCTTCACCTTGCTTGTGTTATGAACGTCCCCAAATTTCCTCAAAATCGAGGAGATCATCGAGTATAAGGGAAACTGCGTAATTTCCTCTTCCTCGAGAATCAGTAGATGACAACGATGAACGAAATACGAGTCCTGGAACAGATGACATAAATATTAAGCCAGCCAGCCTGATCGGCAAAAGAGTTCAACGATTCATACAAATTTGTTAAGGTCTACAACCTTATCCATAAAAGTCCTATTACAAAGAGGAGGGTCATACTTCCTTCGGGCCCTGAGACTGCGTGGGATGGGCATCGCTGGCTTCCTCAACGGGAGGAGGAACTGGAGTTTCCTCTGGATCGGGACGGCTTTGCCCATCATCCTCGACAGGTCCCTCCGAGGAATCTTCCTCCCACTCCACCTCAACGCCGATAAAGTCGGGGGCTAGCTCTGGAACACGCACCTCTTCCCGGCGTCATCAGGAAGCAATGTGAGGACCTCTCCCTCGAAGGACGATATCTCCGTCGAGGATTTCATCTCTGGGATGGCGTTACATAACGGCCCGAATAAGGGAAGTTGCCCGTCGGAAAGTCGCTGCACACCTTTTCGGAGAGCTTCGTGAAGTGTCTTCTTCGGATGAGGCTTTATAAATTGTTGAAGCCATCCAGCGTTGATGGTCTTGCCGCTTTCCATCCTTTCAAGGGCAGCAACAGCTACGCCATGTCCCCCAAGAATCTTAGCCTCGTTGCTAATGCCCACAAGAATGCTCGCCAACCCATCTGTGGACATCATCCTCGACCAAAAGTGCATTATCCAAGCCGGTAGTTCGGATCGGGGAACATGAGTCTCCCTGCACTCGGATAGTTTAGCTTCAAGCTCCTTGTACATAGCCTGAACATCGGCCAGTTCCTTCTCTTTAGAAAGTCTCAAAGCCTCCTCCCTCTTTCTCGAAGCTTCACTCGACTGCTTTTCTTCTTCCAAGGCCCCTCTCTCAGCTTGCAAGCTCTGAATGTCCCGTTTCAAAGTCTTTTCACGCATAAGAATGCTAGCCATCACCGTAGTCAGCTGTAACACGAAATGTTAGCAAAAAGCAACACGGTATCCCCGAGGACTAAACGAATCGAGAAGAAAATACTACCATTTTCAGCGACTCTTCCTCTGTCAAAGTCTCGGCGACCTCCTCGATGATGGGGCACTCGATTCTGTTATCCCCAAAATGGTATACGGCAGCAGCGGCTGTGAATGTCGAGGAACCATCCGTGTCCTCGGTGCTCTTCTTGTCGAGAGTAACTTTAAGGGTCTTGAACCACTCCGGGTGCCGCTCCGTAACTGGAATCGCCTCGGGTGCTTTGTCCTCAGGCATGGGAGCCTCCACCTCTTCAATAATTGGGGAGGTAGCCTTCGGCAGATGATCTTCCTGGTCCACCTCAATCGGGACTAGGTCCTCGACCCGCTTTTCTACCTCCTAGGGGATGGGAGTCTTCTTCTTCTTTGCCTTAGCACTTGCGTCAGACGCCTTCACCAATCTTCTCAGCTTCCTCTTTTTGGTGACCTTATTGGAAGAGCCCTCGTCATCTGAATTTTTAATTTCAAAAATCTTGGCGTCACCAAACAACCCAACGGTATCTTTGCTGGAGGACATGACCTAAAAACAAAAACAAAGCACATAGCAAGTCAGTACCTTTTCTCTTCTCGACGTGAACTGGTGGGACGTAGTGTTGCACTGCCGTGTAGCCAAGGATGTCCTCGACAGATTCCAGGGAGTCGATGTCCACCCTGTACTTCTCGATTCGGGCCTTATCGTGTTTAGACCAGGTGTCTGTCACACCGCCCATCTCATGAGCTTCCCGATAGTCCCATGCCATACAAACATCATCGGGAGCCGAAACAAAAAGGTAATTCGGCTTCCATGATGGGGCACCGTCGAAGAGTTCTATTATACGTTTCGCCTTGGAGGAGGCGTTTGTCTTCACGTTATACCAATCCTTATACTTGGTCGAGGGAACACAGACCTTAAAAAAGTATCTCCATACCAACAATCGAGGCTCTATCCTCTTTATTTGGCAAAGCTTCACAAAACCAAGGACGGCAGTAACTAGGTTTGGGGTAAATCGAGCAAGCGGGATCTTATAATATTGGACTAACCTACCGAACAGAGGGTGTAGGGGGAACCGTAGGCCGAGAAACATCGACCTCTCGTATACAATGATTGCCCCCTCTGGTGGATTGTTAGCCCTCTCAGTCCCTACGGGAGCTCGATAATCTAGATCTATGGGGAAGTTATATTTTTCAGCAATAAAATCAGCCTTTTCAGCAGAATCTATGGTCGATGCAAAATCGGAAACCGTTTGAGATGCCATACCTATCCTAGTATACGCAAGTCTAACCAAGTTTAGGCAAAGCAAAATATACGCACCAACAAACAATAGTAAGAGTGTCCAAGGGTTAGAAGACTAACGTATGAGATAATGCTCTTTAGTTGAAGTCTGTCGGAAGGAATTTCAAACCCTGTTTGACGGAGATATATGGTAGAAGAGGAAGAAGAGAGAAATCTCTGCTGCACTGAATTAAAATTGGAGCTTTCTGGATTTGATGAGAGAAGAATATGACTAAAGTCCTTAGCCTTTCCCCCAGCTAAACAAATATGAGGTACTCTTTTTCCCCAGGATCCGACACTGTGGCCGAAATCCAAGGCACACTCATAATGGCTTAGCCGTCGTTTGGGAAACGTGCGCGTGAGTGGGACTTAATTTCCGCTCGGGTAGGATTTAAATAAAACGGGTCGTCTTCCCGGTTCGGACCCTTACCCGCGGACAGTTATCCTTGAACTGGGCTGAAGCTTATTTGTTCCATATGGGCCAGGTCAGTTTTATTTAGATGTCAAGTCTTATTTATTTTTGCATAATTAACACTTGACAGGGGCACTTGGCGAGTCCAGGACCATCACCATACATGGGCCGGTCCACTATTCAGCCTAAGGGTCCAGATCGTCGATATGGCGGTTTATTGTTAGTAACCCTAGTGGGAATCGGATTCCCCCTCAAGCCTATAAATAGGGACCTTTATTCCACAATAGAGGTACGCTATCTCAACCCTCATATTATCATACAAGCAACCCTACTTTTCTAACTTAAGCATCGGAGTGTCTACCCTCGGGAGACGCCCGAGGCTCTGTTTTGCAGGGAACCCTAGTCGGAGTTCCACCCTGTACCGGCGGTGCAAATCCAGGTATCGTCACTAATAAAGAGAACTTGATTAAGTTAGGATCAAACATATCGTCTTACATCAGAATTATGTTGGAATTCAGGTCTGACTAACTTGTTGGATTAATTTTATGTTATGCTCCTCGAGTAATTTTTTCTCAGTGTGCAACAGAAACAGATTGTGAATTTGCAAACATACTGTATGTATTAATACTTTGTTGTATAATGGATAATTCTTCGTGATTTAGATCTAACTGCACTCATTTTTGGCCTCAAAATCCCAGGCATTAAGCTGGATGGTAAGCTACTGTCACAATATCAAAACAATTGGACCAACTATTCCATCAAATTACCTTGACAACAGCATGGAGGATGACCATGATTTAATGATTATGCCTAAATATGTTCGTGCCAGAAACAGATGCTTGCAGGAAATGGCTGGACTCAAAATCAAGTGGAACAGTGGTTTATGCATCGCTTGGAAGCATTGCAAACCTTCGCGAAGAGCAAATGGCAGAAGTAGCATGGGGTCTAGTAAACAGCCAATGCCACTTCTTGTGGGTAATATTAGCTTATGAGGAAAGCAAATTGCCTAGAAATTTTGTATCCGAGGTGGCAGAAAGAGGACTAATAGTAAACTGGTGTTCTCAACTAGAAGTATTAGCTCATGATGCAGTAGGATATTTCTTGACTCATTGTGGTTGGAATTCTAGTCTTGAGGCATTGAGCTTAGGAGTGCCAATGATAGTTATACCACGATGGAGCAATCAACCAACAAATGCGATGTTTGGCAAACTGGGATGAGACTTGAGGGTGGTGAAATGGAAGAGTGAGAAGGGAAGAAGTGGACATTAGAGTAAGAGAAGTCATTTCTGGAGATAGAAGAATTGAGCTCAAAGAGAATGCTCCAAAATGGAAGGATTTAGATAAGGAAGCAATGAGTAACGGAGGAAGTTCTCATGCAAACATTGAACAATTCATTTCAACAGTTTTAGCCAATGAAACTCCTAATTTTTGTCAAGATCACTCTGGTCTTCTTTCCAATCTAAGATGTATTCAAAGACTAACATTTATGGACACAACAGAAATTGAAAATAAAAGCCCCAAGTCTGTCATCCTGACAATTGATTTCCAGTGAAACACACTTAAAAATGCTTTTTCTATAGCAATTAGAGCCCTTCAGATGAAGTTGAAATTCGTAATGGGAATTGTTACAAAAGAAGATAAATCAAAGAGTTGGTCAGCTCACATAGTATTAAATTATAAATATAAACCGAGAGGGCACTTTTCTTTTCCAAATTTTGCCAGCTTAAACCTTGTGACGAAAGAATTCATAGTGGAAAGTGATTCTATATCTATCACTAGCTCAACAAGAAATTTAAAAATGAAATAGTCAGAAGTGAAAAACAATCCCCGCAAACCAAAACACTTGAAATTATGGTGAAAGAGACAGAAATCACTAAAAGAATGCAAGTAGATATCATTCTATATTTGGCATCTTACCTTTCTAATCATAAAAAAATCTTATGGTCACACCCATATAGAACTTTGACATCATCACATGAATTATTGGCCAATTGCGGGTCTATTTGGATTTTAGATCAGTTGATGCATGATGATTGCAGAACCAAAATGGGTACCAAACCTCATGTTCTGGTCCTCATTTTGCCTGTACAAGGCCACATTAACCCTCTGCTACAATTTTCCAAAATCATAGCTTCTAGAGGTATCAAAGTCACAGTAGTCTTTGAAAGTTCCATAGAGACTACTTTTCAAGCAGATAATCAATCAGAATTGATCAAATTTGAGTGCATGACTGAAATAATTGACCAAGAAAATGTACCTGAAAATTCAGCCCCTGACGCATGGATCGAAATTGCCAAGGTTAAAGTTTTGGAACAGCTGCCTTTGATTTTGGAGAACAAAGCCTCTTCTGGTGAGCCTGTGAATGTTCTTGTGTACGATTCACTCCCACATTACGCTTGTGATATCGCAAAGCAGTTTGGCATTCAGGCAGCTGCATTTTTCACTCACTCTGCTACAGTTTCTGCCATATATCACCATCTACATGAAGGAACACTCAAATTTCCTTCGAAAGAAGAACCAATTACAATATCACTGCCTTCGTTGCCGTATGTATTTAAGCCAAAAGATTTACCTTCATATGTTTATGACAGCTGATCATCTGTTCTGAGGCTTGTCCTTCATCAAAGTTTCAACTACTACAAAGCTGATTGGATCTTGCTCAACACTAATGACTCTCTTGAACATCAGGTCAGTGAATAACCATTACTTACAAGTTACAACACTTCAAACTACTGTCCATTTAGTTTTTCTGATTTCAAAAGCGCCAAAATTTTCACTTGTGCCAGTACAACAGATTCTGATTTCAAAACAGAACAGATTCATTTCTGGCTAAACATATTAAGCATTCTGCTTTAGTAAAACATCACCATGGATATATATATGTTTAACTTAGATTTCTCACTCGTTGGCTAACTAAATCTTCCCATAGACATGTTTCCATCATGTTGGTGGTCAACGAGTGAATTACATGCCAATCAATATGGAAATTCTTTATGAGTATCACTGTGTTTAACATATCTCAAATAGTTGCAAATGTTTTGCACAAAATCTAAAAGGCAGTGGATTGGATGGCGAGCCGCTACCCTAAAGTCAAAACAGTAGGACCAACTATTCCATTAATGTACCTTGACAAAAGCTCGGAGGACAAAGATTATGGGCTCACTCTCTTCAAGCCAGAAACTGTAGCATGCAAGGAATGGCTTGACACAAAATCAACTGGCACAGTAGTTTATGTATCATTTGGAAGCATGACATGCCTTAGCAAAGAGCAAATGAAAGAAATAGCATGGGGTCTGGCAAACAGCCAATGTTTCTTCTTGTGGGTAGTTCGAGGTCCTGAGGAGGGCAAACTTCCAAGAAACTTCGTTGCCGAGGTAGGTGAAAAAGGACTAATAGTAAAGTGGTGCCCTCAACTTGAAGTTTTGGCTCATGAGGCTGTAGGGTGTTTCTTGACTCATTGTGGTTGGAATTCCACTCTTGAGGCATTGACTTTGGGAGTGCCAATGGTGGTTATGCCACAATCCAGCGATCAGTGGACAAATGCAAAGTTAATTGCGGATGTTTGGCAATCTGGGATGAAGCTTGAGGCTTGAGAAGATGGAATAGTGAGAAGGGAAGAAGTGGAGATCAGAATAAGAGAAACCATTGTTGGAGAAAGATCAACTGAGCTCAATGAGAATGCTGCAAAATGGAAGGATTTGGCTAAGAAGCAATGGGTGTAGGTGGGAGTTCTTGTGCAAACATTGAACAGTTTGTTGAATCCATTTTGCAAATTAACTGATCATGCTTTTTGAAGATCAAAGCAATAGCAGGAATTGGAGAAGATAATAAGATTTGATTTTGAGACAGAAAATGCACTGCAAAGAACACAAATCTATGCAGTGTATCTCAGCATCATGATTCGAAAAGAAGAGGAAAAGACTGTAATCAAAATTCCATTTACATTTTATTAGGATAAAATTACATAAGCTTGATTGCTTGGTACTCTGAATTCAATGGATAAAAATTGCAGCATCATCTGTACAAAACTTTCTAGTCAGGAGATCAGAAAGTTATCATAAATCTAATTTAAGGAAACAAAACAAAGGTCGTAAACAAAGCAAAGGCATCCCAATAAGTATTTTACCAAGCTCAACAATGCCAGCGTTTAATTTGTCAAAACTATTTTCCTTCTTTCGAAATCACACAACAAGATCAACTTGTCATCTTCAAAAGTCAGGTGCCATAATCTGGAAAGCAAGTTATTCGGACTAATGTATTCCATTAAAAGAAACTTCAGGAATGCTAATCCGTAGTAATAAACTAGAGCTCTCCGGTTGCAGTCGAAAATGAGAAGGAAATTGTTACAAAAGAGGAACTGGAGATGGTTATCAAGGAAATATGCAAGAAGAGAAACCAAGAGAGCTAAAAAATGGTGTTCTGGAGTGGAAAGGATCAGCTGGAGGAAGCTCAGAAAAACACATTGAGCAACTTGTACATAAGATAAATCTGCAATTAGTTTGTTCAATCCAAGTTCAGGGTCGAGCCTGATTTTTCCATAAGGTTCTCCAAGTTTTGTATTCCTCTTGCCCCATTAGAGTAGTTGAAGAAGGAAACAATAATTTTTCTGTAGATTTCTGGCAGCAAATAAATAGGTTACATTTTGTTAACTTCAGTAAGATTTATGATTTTTCAGATGTAATCTTATGACACTGTATCATTGCGGAATAATGATTTTATATCTATCAACTGGCTCAACATGCTATTTAAAAACCAAAATAGTCAGAAGAAAAGGGCAAAACCAGCAACAGAAAGCAATTACATAAATGGTGAAAGAGAGAGATATACGACTAAAAGTCTCCAAACAGAAATTATTATATTGTTAGCAGCTTACTTTTCTCATCATAAAGAACCTTATTGCAGTGAGATGGTTCATCTACTACCTTTCTTAAATCAATCTACACAAATTCCTGATTACTTTAGTTTATCTTTCTGGTTAATTAATGATTCAGCCTTATTGATGCATGATGCATGATAATTGCAGAACAGAAATGTCTATCAAACCTGATGATCTAGTCATCAGTTTGCCTACACAAGGCCATATTAACCCTCTGCTACAATTTTCTAAGCTCATAGCTGCTAAAGGTATCAAGGTCACAGTAGTCTTAACACGTTCGATACAGATGACTTCTCAACCAGACATTCAATCAGAACTTATCAAACTTGAGTACATCCCCGAAAGAATTAATCAAGAGGAAGTTCCTGAAAAGTCAGCCCATTATCAGGATCCCCATGAAGGATGGTTTGGAAGGATAAAGGCTAAAGCTTTGGAAAACCTCTATAATCATGGAGAGGGAAGCCTCTTCCGGTGAGACTGTGAATGTTGTAGTTTATGATTTAGTTATGCATTATGTTTTCGATGTTGCAAATCAGTTTTGGCATTCCAGGAGCTGCTTTTTTCACTCAGTCTGCCACAGTTTCTGCCATTTATTATCATCTTATCATCTACATGAAGGAACCCTTTAACTTCCTACTCAAGAAGAATTAACTACAGCATCACTGCCTTCAGTTCCACATGTACTCAAACCAAAAAGATTTGCCTTTTTTTGTTTATGACTGTGGACCATACCATCTAATAATGAGGTTTGCCCTTCAGAAATGCTTGAACTTTAACACTTTTGAATGTCTTAAACATCAGGTCAGTGAATAACCATTAACTACTGATAATGCAAAACGGTGAATTTGTTTATTTGCTACCATGTGATCAGGCCTCCTTTTAAGGTTTCTGAGTAGGTACTGAATCACAAATCGATGTACGCTGAAATTTTACTCATGGATTTGTACTTCATCATACTTGTTAAGCTCTGTGTTGAGTGTGCCTCACATTATGGATTTCAAGATGCATCAATCAATTGCTAATTTACATTCTCAACAATACTTTAATGGGTGAAAGAAATTCCTTCTTAATTTATAACTAATTGCATTCATTTTTCGCCTGAAATCAACCAGGCACTGAGTTGGATCACTAATGTCAAAGCAATAGGACCAACAATACCAGCAGTATACCTTGACAAAAGCCTGAAGGGTGACAAAGATTTTGGCCCCCCTCTTTTCAACCCTGAAACTGAAGCTTGCAAACAATGGCTTGACACAAAATAAACCAGCACAGTTGTTTACGCATCATTTGGAAGCATGGCAAGCGTTCTCGAAAAGCAAATGGAAGAAATAGTGACAAAACCTGGAATAGTATCGTCGGCTTGACAGCGGAACTGCGGCTAGGGTTTCCTTCAAAAGAGGGCCTCGGGGGTCTCCTGAGGGTAAACACTCCGATGTTTAAGTCAGTAAAAGGGTTTAAGGAATGTATATGAGCAGTGTTTTTTGCTAGAGATAGCGTACCCGTATTGTGGTGTGATCGAACCTATTTATAGGCATGGAATTACTTTGAGGAATGCCGAATTCCATTTGGTTTCATGTTCTAGAACCGCCTCTATAAAGTCGGTTGGACCATAATTGGTACATGGGCCGGTCCGGTAATCCTTGGTGAATATGGACTCGTCAAGTGCCCATATCAAGTATTAGTTATATGAAATAAACAAGACTTGACACAAAATAACACTCACCTAGACTCGGCCCAAGTTGAGTAGATAAGTTTTGACCCATATTGTATCGAGTAAGCCTGAGGAAGTGATCAGCGGGTCATGATCCGACCCAGGAAGGTGACCCGACGTGAAATCCCACCTAAATTATAGTAGATATGCACCATTACTCAGCACGATTTCCAAACGACGGCATTAACCATCATTACTGCCTTGAAACTAGTTGAAACGGTAGAATCCTAGGGTATTTTTACTCCTTTTTATACCAAAAGAAGAGGCGTGCCAGGTAACACTCCTTTCTTCTAGATCTAAAAACTTCAGAAAAGTTTTTACACTGCCCCGGCATCTGTACTAACTCTGGCATCGTCTGAAGAAACTGTTGCAGTTTCACAAAAGAAGCTATCTCGAAAAATATTGTTCTTTGCCGATAATCCGCCAGAAGCTTTGGTGGTTGCTGTTGCTGCTATAATAATTTGCAGAAGCCGCCGGAATTTGTTGAAACCCTGGGAGGCTACAACTCAAAAGACGAGTGGAATCCCCTTCCTACAGTAAGTACTCAGATTTTCAATGTCTGTTTCATTTCCAACCCTTGAATTCAAAGCATAGATCTGGATTTTGTTGCAAGTAGACAATTATGGCTAAGAACCCAGATCAGAAATCTGTCAACGATTTTGCTTCCACTATGGATTCCGATGAGAAGGTAAAAGCTATATAGACAAAGTATGACTTGCCCCTAGACCTAGAAGCTAGAGCTCCTTTAGGAACCGAGAGAGCCAATACTCCTCCAGAAGGAATAATTACCATATATGACCACTTTGTGTATCTAGGGTTGAGATTCCCCCTTTTTCCTATGTTCGAGGAGATTCTGCATCATTATCAAATTCCTTTGGCACGATTCACCCCGAATTTGATAACCTACGTTCTCGGTCTTGTTAAAATATGTCAACGGATAAAAGTGAAACCGTGTCTGTTTCTGTGGAGGTATTTATTTAAATTATCCATGCCCTTGACATCGTTCCAAGCTTGTTATACTATAAAGAAAAATCCCAATTCAGGAGCCAAGAAGATAGTAGAGGCGTAAGGCGGTTCTCCCATATGGAAACCAAACTTTCTGTATGTAAAGGAGCCTGAAAAGTACTTTGTGGCCTGGAATCATCGAGAAACCAATGGATTCGAGGCAATAAAGGATGATTGGATAGACGAGGATAAAGAAAAGATCAAGGAGTTCGACAAGGACTTAAAGAAGTTCGAGAAGTACTCCAAAATAGTTAAATGGGACGCTGTGCAATATTTCGTTCCCACCATTCCTATCAAGAAGAAGGAAGCCAATAATACTCTATATACCCTGCCGAGGAGAAGAAAGGTACTAATTTCTTTATTATCTCTTTGTTATTAGGTCATTTTTTCGGGAAATGTCGGTTCCGGACTATATGGTGATTCCGGCCCCTTTAATGTTGTGAACTCAGATGAAGATACCTCCACGACGAAAACAGCGGTAGCAAAAATTAAGAAAAAGAAGAAGAGGGCCGCAAAGGAGTCTGAGAAGGGACCCAACACTAAGAAGTCGAAGACTGATGCCCCTGTCGCGAAGCAAACTGAGGCGGCAAAATAGGGCGAGGAGACCATTCCGCCTGTCAACTAGGAGCCCAAGAGGCCGGCAATTGTCGAGAAGGAGACACATATTGAAGGAAGTTGGGCCGAGTACTCAACCCCCATATGTCGAGAAAGGCAAGGGCCCTTTCATGGGGGACGTAACCATTCTGCCTACTGAGCTATTTGCAGGAGGCCCTTCCATCGCGGTTTACACCTTCAGCGATCCACCCATGATCGAGTGCCCTTTACTAGAAGATTTTGCCGCCAACTTGACTGAGACAGACGGATTAAGACTGGTAAACACACTATACCATGTTTTATTCCTTGATTTTCATATGTTGGCATGAATGTGCCCATATCCTCTTTTTGTTTCGTTCTCACAGATGAGCACAGTCATGATGAACTGCGCGAAGAGGTCCAGGGACCTAAGGTGGGAGCTGGCTGAGGCTCGGGCCGAGAGAGATCAAGCACTGATCGAGAAGCTAGTGCTTGAGGAGAAGAATCAGCAACTCTAGTCCAAGGAGATAGAACTGATCTCGGTTCAGGCCCAGCTTGGAGAGTTGAAAAAGAAACTCCATGAATATAGTGACCTACACATTTCCAAGGAAGATCTCAATAAATAGTGCACTGCGTTCTGGTGGAGGATGTTGTCCTCAGGTGGGATGACCGCCGTTGTAGAAGATATCAACACTGTCTCGGTGGCATATGGGGGTCATGGAGTTGCTGTTGCGGGCTTAAAGAGAATCAAGTCGAAAAGGCCTATCAAAGCTAAGTGGCTCAAGCAATTCCTGAAGGAAAACCCAAAGAAGACCATGTATGAAGCCTTGGTCCGGGGACTTTGCAAGCTAACCACTGATCGGCTTCCCCTGTGGGAGCCCTTGTGTGAGGCCTTGTCCAAGGTGGGTGCTCTTAAGAACATCGCCTCGTTTCCCGGGGATGTCGCTGTTGTTCTGATGAAGGGTCCTGGTGAGGATTGGAGGTCCCTGAAGTCTCTGACGAGTATTTTGGCATTGATCTCGAGGAGGACGAGGATGATGCCTCAGAGGATGGTGACACAGGAAATTCTGGAGCTAAGGATCATGATCCCCCAGCCGAGGAGGATGCTGGTCGAGCCAAGGAGAAGGAACTCCCTGTCGAAGGGACATATGAAAACTAGCCAGGGAATACTCCTCACTCCCAAGCAGCTGTATGAGTTTATTCTTCTTCTAATAGAGTCTCTTCTAAATTTGAGAATTTCTTGTAACACTGCTCGCGGGAGTAATTTTGAACATCCTTACTAAGCATCTCTTCTTGCTTTTTCTATGGTATTCAATCCCTTTGACTTTACTCTGTGTCTTATGCTAGGAATTATACTTTGTTCACCAGGTATATCTGATGATCTTGGATGAAAACCAAGCAAAAAACTTTCCCATGAATGCTACGGTTTCTACAGCAATGAGAAAGTTAGAAAATATCCACAATATTTCTGCTGTAAGGACCCTTGAGAAGGACACTGTAGATGCTGTCCAAGCATACAATGTACACATACACTCTCGGCTGGTTCAACGTTTCAAACAAAAGGAAGAAGAGTATCAACGCCGCCTCCATCAATATGATCTCGACTATCAGGACTCTCTGATCTTGGAGACAAATGTAAGTGAGGAAATGGCGCAATTGAGAAAAGAGAATGCCCAGCTGAAGTGTCGTGAAGGAATCATGGTGTCCCCATGGTTTCTTGAGAAGTTCCATATTCTTTCACTTGTCGAGAAGCAGATTCAAACCAGGACAGAGTGCTTCATCGTTGCCATAGAGATGGTGAAGAAAAGGACCAAAGAGGCCGAGTTTTATTCGAGACAATCTGCTGTTTTACAGAATATACTGGCCAATCGTGAGATCCCGCTTCCCATTTTCGAGGACCTGGATGAGAACGAGAAAGCTTGAGAGAGGACGCCTACCGAGGAATACCTGCTTAGGCTTAACGAGCAAGACTGGGAGATTGTCGACCTTAAGGACAAGTTGAACCAGTGTATCAACCATCTTAGAATGTTAGGATTCTCTGGCGTAATCAAGCCGTCTCGATTTAACCCCCAAGGGGAAGATTTTAGCATTTAAGGATAGACAGATGTATCTATCCAACCCCGCACATGGTGTGAGGGCAATGTATTTGATTCGAGCCTTGTCGGCGTCGTTTTTTGATTCATACT